TTAAGTTTATTTTCCCTTTTCTTCCTTATACTCTTAGTTCATCATAACAAATTTACTTACATTTGCTGCAGGAAGTAGCATTGACTTCAGAACGTAAAAATTTCGAATTCAGAATCAAAATTTTCAAATGACGTATTCATACAATGAACTTATTTATACAATCCACTGATTTCATATGCTATAATCTCTACATACACACTTTCTAACAATCAAGCTTCCAAACAACCCCCTTAATGTGTCCTTAGTAGATTTCTTATTAAAAAATCCTGAATATTCACACAACAAATTGATAAATCGGCCTTTTGAAACATATGAATCTCAATTTGGTCAATTTGGCATATACTGCCTCAAGAATCATATAACAGTGGAAACAAGAACTCCTTATCTAACCTTCAATATCGCAGGTGTAGGCAAATCCACAGATTCCATGGCATCATCCATATAGGAGCACATAAGTGAGAATGCTGAACGGTCATAGAACGTATCCCTCCTTGTTATGAGAAACGAAGTCGTCAAAAAATCTTGTGTGGAAGCAACCAAAATCTCTCCATTTTTTGGTGTGCACAAATTATTTTGCACCTGCGCAGCAGAAATTTATTAGAAGTTTGATATCTGAGGGGCAAGCATCTCAAAGTCTAAGGAGGCATGAAATCCAATAATGGAGCTATTCAAAGAAAGGTTAAAACACCAAGCGAGTTATGAATGAAGAAAACTGCAGCAAATATAATGGCAAATTCTTCAGAAAGATGCTCTTCATTTTACAAAAGAAGAATGCACCATTTCCCACTCCAGCGGCCAAAATATTAAATTCTGACTAGTGCCAAGGAATGGGTGGTGGACTTCAGCAGTATCTAGGGTCATACTACAACAAATGCTGCCTTATGGTTAGCATGGTCTACACTCTGAAGTAGTTCTGACCTACTGAGCAGAAGCAGAAGAAGACTTTTATGACTGAGCAGACAAAAGAAAAAAGTGACACACATAAGTTAATGCAGGACCAGAAGAAGGGAATGAAGAGGATGGACACAAAATATTGAGTTGCGCAACTTCTTGTTATGAAGTCACCCCTTGTACAAAGCCTCAGTCAAGAAGAAAAAAGATATATAACTATAATCAACACCTAGGCATCTCCTTCATATGAAAATATAGCTCCAAATTCATTACAGCTCTGAAAATCAAAAGTTAGTTTTCTTGTACATGCAAGATTCATATCTACAAACAGGAAGAAAATAAAGTCTTTAAGTACATTTATTGACCATGAACGAAACTGAGCCAAGGGCATGGAATGCTTTAACAGCAGACATATAGATGGAACGACATAAAACTTTACCCCCATCAGAGTCAAAGCCTCTGTACGAGCCTCTTCTGTTTGTGGGACATGCATGTTCATCTCGTCACCGTCAAAATCAGCATTATATGGATTGCAAACAGATTCGTTAAATCTCAATGTCCTCCAGGGCATAATTCTGGCCTGCAAGCACAACAAAAGGGACCAATGACTATATCGACAAGATCATGTGATTCAATGCAGCAACTTTGGATCATTTAATCACCCTATGAGACATGATAGACATCCGATGCAAGCTTGGCTGTCTGTTAAAAAGAACAACGTCGCCATCTTCCAAATGGCGATGTACAACACAACCAAATTTCAGCTCCTCAGCAACGCGTTTTCGGAAGTTTCCTTGTAACATCCTGCATCATAGCATAATTCATGTAACAATTTGATAAAGAAAGAAAACACTTCATAACAACAAAAGTATATAGGTACGAACTTTGATGAACCATCAGGATATGTGACCATCTTTGCACCAGGGTATTTGAGTGGGCCATTACTGACACACTGCTTCAACTTCTCAATATTGTGTTGGGAAACACGCTCCGGAAAAGTTAAAATTCGTGCCATATGGATTGGAATTGCTACCTACAATCCACCACACAGTTTTAAAAATCACAGGACAAGGGGGATAACAAAAACTATCCACATGAAAGCAGGAATGGAAGTGTAAGAGGACCTCTGTTATTTTCAGATTAGGGTCCGGAGATATAACAGTTCTGCCAGTATATTCAGAACGCTTTCCAGATAAGTTGCCACGAAATCTCCCCGTTTTTCCTTTAAGACGCTGAATAAGTCCACTCATGGGCTTGCCAACTTCCAAATTACTTGGGATGCGAGTGTCACTATTTACATAAAGTGAAACCATAGCTTGAAGGTGATCCCAATTATCCTACATCAAACAACGCGAGTATGAGAGTTCTAAACATAATGAGTTGTGTAGAAAGAAATGCAAAGAAGCTTGAGAAACATAAACCAGATGTTTGTCAAATGGCTTTTTGCCTTCCATTATCTCATGGCGAAGTGCTGCATTCGAAATGAGAATTTGTTTCAGTCTCTCTGTGACGTCATTTTCATTGCTGCAGAAGAGATGCAGAAGACACTCAGAGATCGGCATGACTACAAGAGAATCCAAAATTGATTGTGGTGAAAGTATATGTCAATAGATACCTCAGTGATCCTTCCACAGCAACTGATGGTCGGATAGCGATAGGTGGAACAGGAATCTTTGTAATAATGAGCTTTTCAGGTCTATCATAAAGATAAAGCAATTCACAATCCTGCCATCATCAACATGAAAAGGAAAAAAAAAAAGAGAATACAATCAAGACAAAGAAATAATAGTAGGTTGAAAAAGAAGGATTGTGAACTACACCTTATTCGACATTCCTTCAAATATAGAGTGCACTTTGACAGGGTTAAGATAATAAGTTGCACGATTAATGTTACTCTTCACATCCTTGGTGTGTGAAACAGCAGATCGACATTCCTTGGGGAAGCTATCGTCTGACTTTGAATGCTCATGAACTAGATAACCTCTATCCTTTTTCACCATCCCTGAAAATTAGAAAAGATATTCAACGCTCTAAACCTATTTGCAGTTGAATGTAAACTCAAGAGATATCAACAATAACATTTGTGGACAACGAAAAAGAGGATGTAATATTATTCAACAAAGTAATAATGAGGATGTTGACAGGAATTGATCATTTCGATGACTGTTATAAATTTCAGTGAAAAAGCACTTTATCATCCAAATAAAATAGTTCCCTAGGAAAGGAAAAGCCAGAAACCAAACCATTCTTGTAACCACAGTAGCGGCACTCTATAGATTTTCCACTGGCCATGGTACTGCATTTCTTCACGATAGACTTCATTATAGCAGTCTTCTTCAGGGGATCCAGCTTGGGATTTGTCATCTGCCTTAAATGCTTCTCTACTGACTTATCATCAAGAAGTATACGGGAACAATTCTGTAAAGGGAAAAAGGTAAAAGTTCCTCATTCTTTGGCAATGACTAGATAGAGAATTATTTCCAATAGGATTATAGAAAAGTGTGGACATTTCTGTCCATCATAGCTTAAGTAAAAATGATGAAGACAAAGAGAAAAAGCCATGTGGTTGCCTGCAGTAAACGTTGGCACAGCATGGCGTAACCCAACTGTCTCTCGTATGCCGTAATGACCATCAGCATAATTCAGAACAGATAAAACTGGTGAAAACCTTTGCGAAAGCAGATCAAAGATTTCTACATGAGAATCGTAGCAGCAGATAAAAAACATCAGAAGAACATAAATTACCTTACAGATGCACTTCAAAACGTCCATAATAGTACTCAGGTACCCAACATTAAAAACTGGCAGCGTAAGAGATGAATACCCAAAGTGCCCAGGGCAATCATTGAAGTTACCACCACATGTTTCACAGGCCATTCCGAATTTCTTCGCAGGGCCCTGTTAAAAGCATCACGAAGACGAAGTCCAGAAAGAAACAAATAATAAAAAAAGCATGTGTCAGAAAATGGTGTTGCTGAGACCGCATTGCCAGCAAAAACTCAAACATCACTGTAACAAATTCACAGAAGCAATAGACTATACAGAAGTAGAAGGGAAGGAATCAACTATATACCATTCTGGGATCCAACAAGCCACCTTCAATGGGCTTTGTATTGAGATCATAGTAACTTCCAAGATGCACTTGACATTCAGCCGCCTTTAAGACATCAGATTCTGACATAACCGAAAATTGCATGCTTTTGCTGTACAGAAACCACCACCACCACCACCATCATCATCATCATCAATTCATCAACACTCTTAAGCATAACATGAGTGAAATGGAAACGAAAGACAAATCAAAAGCATGTTTAAGCTTATAATCCCTCATCACAGGCATCATTCAAATACAGTCTGCTACCAGTTGCTACAAAAGCCATAAACTTAGCACTGAATAAAAAAAAGGATTTCACCAAAATTAGAATTCTGAATACATAATTCAACTCACATTCTACGAGGACCTGCATCTTCAACGTAGGGCTGCTTCGTGTACGTTATGTCACCGCTCTTCTGCTGCGGGTTCTGCATCTCTGCACTCCCGCGGTGCTGCGCCGCCGCCGCAGCACAAGGGGAGATGTGATGTCAGAATCAGAATACCACGAAGCCGGTAGTCCTGAAACGCGACTGCGATCGACAATCTCTCAGTGAAACTGGAGAACCGTCCCGTTACAGACGGTTACGTTACTGCCGTGATGTGGGTTGAGAAGAACAGAAACGAGTGACCGAATCAGGAAGCTGGACTGAACTGGAAACAGAGGGGTTTAGGGCTTTGCAGAGATGACGGGGGGGAGTTTGGACGAGATGATGAAAGCGACGGGTTATTGCTGGGCAGTTCGCCGCCTATCAGGAGAAGCTGAAAGTGAAGCAAGAGACGAAGAAAACCCTCTACAGAAATAGCTCCCCATGTACGACGTCGTAGCATCCGCGAAAAAGGATTGAAAAAAAAAAAGGGAAAATGCAAAATAATTTTACCAATTTCTACCGCTCATTTCTTTCTCTTAAAACACGGAGCGAGGAGGAGCCGCCAAAATCTCGTCAAACCCTAACCCCAGTTAACCACTAAATTCTCTTCAACCGTCGACCTTAAACCCTACCAAAATTCCGAGATCATGAAGTCGGTGACCGGCGAAATCGTCTCATCGACACCCGTCTCTCTCTCCAAGGCTGCCTCCATCCTCTCCCAATTCGTCTCCGCCGACACCGGCGCTTCCCAGGCCGTCAACGCGTACCTCCGGCGCGCCAACTCTGCTTTCGATGAGCTGGTACGATTGCGCTCCAAATCCGAGCGCAGGGCTCGCGAGAATCACAGGTCAGGCCCTGCCGAACCCTCTGCACTTACCACCACTTCTGTTCCCACCGTCGATGAGAGAGTTCAACTCTCTAAGGGGACGGCACAGCCCCAGTTGAACTCGGAGGAGCCACATAAAAGAAAGAAGAAGAAGGAAGAGGATGAGGTTAAGGTTGAGGAAGAGCTGCGTAAAGGCGAGGGTAATGTTGAGGAAGAAGAGCTGTCAAATAAGAAGAAGACGAAGAAGAGCGATCTCGGTACTTCAGGGGGCGGCGAGAACAAGAAAGGGGTTGAGGTGAAGGGTGAACTGAGCCATGCGGAAGCTAATTTAGGGGATTTGGGTAGTGAGAGTGATAAGCAGAAAAAGAAAAAGAAGAAGCATAAGAGTAAAGGACTTGAGAATGGCGATGTTGATGGCTACAAGGTAAATGGTGCCATAACTGGTGCCCAGGATGCTGTGAGTGAGAAAAAGAGGATTAAGGAGGAAGAACAGAAGAGTGATGGGGTGAAGCCAAAGGACGAGAATAGGAAGAAGAGAAAGAGTGGTGAGAATGGGGAGGAAAGTAGAGATAACAGTCACTCCGAAGAGCGGCCGAGAAAGAAGAAGAGGTGAAACGATTGATAAACTGAGTGATGGAAGCGTGGAGGATGGAATCAGGATGTTTATTTTTGGGGTAACTTGAGCGCCATTCGTGGGTGAAATTTTGATCCAGGCTTGGATTCGGACCAAGTACGAGGCTTTTTACTTATCTGATTCTTATTTGCTTGAATGATTCCTTTTCTTATGAATGATAAATTATTGGGTACTTCAGATGTTGAACTCAACATACGGTTTTAGGGTTGTTCATGTTTATTCCTGCCATTGTTATTACTTGAGCCCTGAAGCTGATGATCATCAGTCAAGCTTTGTTCTGTTGCAATATTGGGGTCCTATATTTTGTATGGTGGAAACACTTTGTTGAGATTAACCAAATGACTTGTATGTGTTTGGTCCGATGAAGAGTTACTTTATTTGCTGTTGCTGGGTGGCTAAGCATTGCCTTCATCCATTACTATGAGCTTTACTGGCATGGTTTTTGATATTGTCCTGCATAGTTAAGGGATTCCATTGAAAGCTAGTGGGGTGATCTGATGTGGTGTAAGGTGAAAAGAAACCCGCACACTGCATCTTGTTCAGTTTAGTCATTCAGTAAATAGCTACTACATTCAGGGTTGTCTACTCTGTGCCATTCAGTGTCTACATGTTGGGTTGAGTAAGATCTGGGAAGTGTCCACTTTTATGTAGTTCTGCAACTTTTGACTCGAGCTGAGAACAGGATCTCCACAATTCAACTTCTTCAATTATTCAATCTGATCTTACTCATCCCTCAATGGAGGTGTCTTCTTCTTTTCATTCGCAGCATCTAAATTTTATGTGGGAACTGGGAAGCGTGTAATCTTTGTGTGTTTGTGACCCAAACTGAGCAACTGGATCTCCTGAATTCTGTATTTTTTTCAAATCACTCTCTTAACATCTACCTCTCGAGCTCAACTCCTCTTGGTCTCCATGTCCATTGTCCTACTATTTATCTGATATCAAAGAGGTGCACAACCTGGTATAGTAGTTCAGCATAAGTTGGCTGATGAAAAATCAGGGACATAGTCTGATTTTGATTCGGTCCTTCTAGCCCTCTCTTTATTAAATTGTAGAGTATCGAATTATATTTGGTTCGATTCAAATATCCTTTGAATTATTTACCTGTTGAATGATTTAATTTTTTGTCATGTTTTCAACGAATATGAACTGCGAGATTTGCTAATCAACTATGTCAAATAAGGTAATATCGTATCAATCAGTCTATCAACGATGCAAATAATAAGTAAATTTGACAAACGTTCTTTTTTATTATGAATTCTTATATTTATTTATGACAGTCACTGAATATTCCATTTCATCCAGATTATTTTATAACACGGAAACACACTAGGACAAACAAAATAAACAACAGAAGAAGAAATTCCCTGATGAACACCCATTACTCTATACTACTCAGGGCCGGCCCATGATATTCGGAGGCCCTGTTCGAAAATTAAAAATGTGGCCCAAAAAATTTTCTCCACAAATTTATTAAAAATAAAAATTATTAAATAATAATAAAAAATACATCAATCACAAAATGATTAGATTCCACTTTTTCTTACGCTTAAATCTACCTGATTCTTATTTTCTAGTTTCACAATTAAAAATGCTTACCAATCAAAATTTCCAATCAAAAGTTCTCTAAAAAAACAAAATGTTTTGAAACTAAAACAGGCCCAACCAATGAAAAAAAATATTAGGAATTAAAATAGGCCCAGCCGATTTTCAAGTGATCATTCGGCCCAATTTTCCATGACCCCAGGCCCAGAAAAACCCTTCGGTCTCTCTTTTCCAATTTCCATTTCTTTTCATACATATATATATATAATTCTATGGGCTTGGCTTATGAGGCCCCAAAATTCATGAGGCCCTGTGCTGTGGGTCAGACCAGCACAGGGTCTGGGCCGGGCCTGATACTACTGGGAGCTGCCAAGAAAGTTTGGGACTCGATCTCCGCACGGAACTTGGCCTTCTTCGAGTCATCCGCCGACCATATGAAGATGCCGTGAAGCTTCTTCTCCCTCCGCAGCTGGTCGCAGGCCTCGAGGAACCCTCCCGCCAGCTTCAGCCCGCCGCTGTTGTCCGTCCCGAAGCTCGCCAGCACCTTCCCGCCCCTGTAATTCCTACTCTGTTCGTCGAAAAACTGTAAGAACTTCTTCTTGTCCGTCCCTTTGTCGTACGAGTAGAACTGGAAGTTCACGTAGTCGATCAGATGCCCGTACTTCCTCCACAGCGCGATGTAGTGCCTCTGCGACACGTCCTCGTCGAACGGCGCGATCGACGCGAACCTGATGATTTTTTTCCCCTTGAGGTACATGATCAGCTTCCCGATGCAGTCGGCGAACGTGTCAGGGTCCGCCCCTGGCATGAAGTGCTCGTAGTCGATGTCGATCCCGTCGAGATTGTACGCCTGGACGATGTCGGTGATGGAGTCGATGGCGTTGTGGAGCCAGGTTTTGGGGGTTTTGGGCTGGAAGAAGACGAACTGGTTGTGCTCGCCGATGGTGTCACCGCCGAGGCTCATGGCGACCCTGACGTTGGGGTGTTGGTTCTTGATCGAGGAGACCTGGGACAGGGCGAGGTTTTCGGTGTCCCAGTACGGCTTGAAGATTCCGTTGGTAGGGGTTGGGCGGGAGGAATCGGTGTAGTCGATTGCGAAGGAGAGGATGAAGTGGAATTCGACGGAGGAGTTGATTGGTACGTCGGAGAATTTGACGTTCACACCCTCTGCTCCAATGTACTCTCTGAACAGCTGCTGCTGGGATTCGATTGCCGGGAATCCATGGCTGAGAAGGAGGAGGAGGGCGAGGTGGAGGAGGAGTCGAGGCATGGGTTTAGCTGCGTTGAATTTGATGGTTTGAGTTGTGGAGGTTACTGGATTGGGGTGGTTTGGTTTTATAGAGGGGATTCAGGGGCGCGGGTTACGTTTGTCTGTTGTGCATTGCCGGCGGAGTAGATTCCGATCTCTGTATAAAAGAGCATGGTGGTGGGAGTTTTGTTGTATTGAGTGGAGAAGAATATTCATTCATAATTTCATATTTTTCTGGGACGGCAAACTGAGGAATCCTAAGAAAGGCTGGCTGGGAAATTAACTGGCGTCGAGGAACAGCCAATAAATGTTTCTTGGTGATTTCTGCTTGTCATGGAATTTTGAATATCTAAATTCTCAGTTTGTGATTGGAGTTTTTTTTTTCTTTCTTTCTCTCTTCTAACAATTAAGGGGTCCAGATCGGGTAAGTAACCCATCAGTTAGGGGTGGCAGTCGGTCGGTTTCGGTTTAACCGAAAACCTAAAACCCGATTATCGGTTAAACCGAGACACCCCCTATAGATGCCGACCACCGACCGAAGAGAGGTCACGGTTAGCCGACCAATCGACCGGTCGGTTCCAGTTTTAGGCTCGGTTAGCCAACCAACCAAAAAAATACATTTTCCACAAAAAAATAAAGGGTTAATTGCATGGTTGGTCACTGAGATTACAAAAAACGTTCATATTTGGTCACTGTAAATATTTAAATCCAATCTTGGTCACTCAAATTAGTTAAATGGTTCAAGTTTGGTCACTCTCCGTCCAACTCCGTTAAATTTATCTGATGTGCCAGTCAACCCTCAAAGTTGACCGTTAACTCAGTGACGTGGCAATTAAAAAATAATAAATAAATAATAAATAAATAATAAATAAATTATAATCTTCTACCATTTTCAACTCATTTTCACACTAAATTAAAATAAAAAAATAAAAAATATTATAATTACAAATTGAAAAGGGGCTCTCCGATTCAGCCCCGCCGCCTCTGCTTCTTTCCACACCTTCGACGTCGTCGTTATAGGTGCCAGAATCATCGGATTGACGATCGCTCGACAGCTCTTGACTAGCTCCGATCTCTCCGTCGCCGTCGTAGATAAGGCTGTTCCGTGCTCCGGTGCTACCGGCGCAGGTAATCACTTTCAGATTATTGAATTTTAATTTTATTCTTAAACAACTGAGTGTCAATCACTTTCATTCATCTGACTGTTAAGTGTTAACTCAGTCAGCACTTCTCTGGTCTCCTCCCACAGTCGTTCTTCTTCCCACAGTCCCAAAGCTAAAACCACTCCTCTGCCATCTGTTCATTTTTCAAACGCACTATCCCATTCTCCCTCCCAAACAAAAATGGCTTCTTCGGCGCTATCGCTCCCCCGTTCGTGGACTTGTTCTTCTCCCCAATACCGCGATGTCGCTTCTCTTCCACGCTCCCGCCGCGGTTCACTTGCCTTCCCGAACTACTATAACACAGAATCCGCCTTCTTCGGCTCCAAACTCCCCGCCAAATCGCTTTCCTGCTCACCGGCGACACATCGATGTCGCGGCCGGGCTCTCCGATTCAGCCCCGCCGCCTCTGCTTCTTTCCACACCTTCGACGTCGTCGTTATAGGCGCCGGAATCATCGGATTGACGATCGCTCGACAGCTCTTGACTAGCTCCGATCTCTCCGTCACCGTCGTAGATAAGGTTGTTCCGTGCTCCGGCTCTACAACAACTCTCTCACCGGCTCTCTGCCCCAGGGCTTCTCCAATCTCACGACCTTGAGGCGTTTCGACTCCTCCATGAACGACTTGACCGGGACCATTCCCGACGAGCTCTGTGGGCAAGACCTCGAGTCGCTCAATTTGTTCGAGAATCGGATTCAAGGGAGCCTGCCCGAGAGTATAGCCAGCTTCCCCAACTTGTACGAGCTCAAGCTCTTCAATAATCACATGAACGGGACTATGCCCTTTTCAATTTGTAATTAAAATATTTTTTTGTTTTATTTATTTTACTTTAATGTAAAAATGAGTTGGAAATGGTAGAAGATTAAAATTTATTTTATTTATTATTTTTTAATTGCCACGTCACTGAGTTAACGGTCAACTTTGAGGGTTGACTGCCACATCAGACAAATTTAACGGAGTTGGACGGAGAGTGACCAAACTTGAACCATTTAACTAATTTGAGTGACCAAAATTGGATTTAAATATTTATAGTGACCAAACATAAACGTTTTTTTTAATCTCAGTGACCAACCATGCAATTAACCCAAAAAATAAATAAATAAAACGAAAAAAACTCCACCACTCCTTTCTTATCTACTCCTCTCTCCTTCCTTCCTCCAACAGACTTCTACTCTCTCCTTCCTTCTTCTTCTCTCACCTTCTTTCTCCATGGCCCATGCAAACAGATCTGCAGGGAGCGACGGGCGGCGAGGCGCACGGCGCGCAGTGAGGCGGCGAGGCGGGCGGCGAGGCTCGCGGCGACAGAGGCAGGGGAGGGCGGCGACGGAGGCAGGGCGACAAGTTGTGGTGGCGGTGGAAGGAGGGGTAGCGGAGGAGGCAGGGGAGGGCGGCCGGAGTCGTCGTTGGAGGGAGGATGGGGGAGGAGGAGGGAAGATGGAGGAACGAGAGGTCAGAGGAGGGAGGATGGGGGAGAAGGAGGGAGGATGGGGGCTGCTCACAACTGCTAGGGTTTAGGGAGAGGTGGGTGGTTTTATTTAGACCAAAACGGGGTCGTTTAGCGTCGGTCGGTTAGCCGGTTAACCGGCCTCAGTTTTTTGGCTAACCGCCTAACCACTGAACTCATCCGACAACCGACCGCCACTCATTTTTTTCGGTTTCCGGTTAGCCGTTAACCGGCGGTTACTGGTTAGACCAGCCGGTTAGCCGCTAACCGTCAACCGAACTGACAGCCCTACCATCAGTAACCCCTTCCCTGGTGGCTGGTCCCCACGTGTCAGTCACTTTTTTATTTAAATTAAATGTGAAAAGGGCAGTATGGTAAAATTGCACTTACTCCTATTTATTGCTGACGCTGACTTTTGACCGGACCACATCAGCGCTTCCTTCTCTCTCCTCGCAAAACATTTAATTTTCCTTCCCATAATCTTTAAGGGACGATTTCTCACTCGTTTTAAGTCGAAATTTAATTTTTTTTGCACAGTTAGATCAGATTAATTGTGCTCTTCAAAATGATATCCACTTTGATATTTTTTGGACACAAAAAAATTTGTCAGTTATTACCAGTACCATATGGTATTGACTGGTATTAAATAAGAGCATACCATATAGTATGAAAAAATTTGCCACATGAATATATATTTCGTTACCACCCAATACCATATGGTATAGTTTGGTAATATCAATATATATTTCGTTACCACCCAATACCATATGGTATAGTGTGGTAATATCAATATATATTTCGTTACCACCCAATACCATATGGTATAAAGTGGTAATACCATATGGTATAGAGTGGTAATACCAATATATATTTCGTTACCACCTAATACCATATGGTATAATGTGGTAATATCAATATATATTTCGTTACCACCCAATACCATATGGTATAGAGTGGTAATACCATATGGTATAAAGTGATAATACCGATATATATTTCGTTACCATATAATATCATATGGTATAGTGTGGTAATACCAATATATATTACCTAAAAGAAAGGGGAAAAAACAAAAGGAGGGAGAGAAAAAAAGCTTGTATTCTGTGAGTCTTGTCTCATCTCATTTCATCCACAACCAAAGAACACCAAACGCCAAAAAAGGAGAAAGATCAAAATTAAAGCCAACGAGTTGATGAAGAGAATAAACGCAATAAAAGAGGGTGAATTCAATTTTTATTCGTCGATTGCTAGAGAAAAAAAATGAAGATGGAAGAGAGCAGATCTAGATTTGAAAAGGAGATTGTGAGAGAAAAAGTAAGAGAGAAGGAATAGAGAAAGAGAAAGGATCTGGAAAGAGATTGGGTAAAAAGAAGAGAGAAGGAAGAAAGTAGAGTTGAAGAGAAAATGTTATTCTCTCTCTTTCATTGAAAAACCAGCCATTGAAATGCGGAATAAAAAAAATTAAAAATACAAAAACGGACAAATATGCCCCTCCCCACCCCCGTGTCCAGCCCAACCACACGATTGCTCCATCCCCCAGATCTACGGCTCCCGTGTAGTTACTGATAGGTTAGTAACCAGTGGTTACTGACCCTATCCCAAGCCGAATTAAGGGGTGGAGCAAGATTTGGCATTAGGCCTTAAGATAAGTAACAGGATTTTTCCAAAAATAACACATTTTAAAAAAAAATTACAAAAATAGCACCTAGCCCATAGAAATTACAAAAATAACATCCTTTTTTTAAAACCGCACCACCAAGGTGCGGTTTGATTGTGAACCGCAAGCACAAGGTGCGGTTTGAGGTTTTGGGCCCAAACCGCATCTTGGCCATGCGGTTTCACACTACAAGAAAATGCATATACAACTACGCAATTGTTTGTGGCTAAAGGTCCAATTTGGTGTAGCTAAAATATATAGCCATAAATAAATAGTTTTGTAGCTCGTGTGGCTAAAAGTGGCGCAGCTAAAGGTTAGCTACACAATTTTGCACTTGTGTAGCTAATAATAGAGGTTTTTGGCCATACTAATTGTATATTAAAGCAAAATTACTAAAAGCATTTTGCCATAAAAGTAAAAGTGGTGTGGCAAAACCATTGAAGTGTTTAGCTACGCATAACATAATACATAGCTGAATATAGTCATTGGCTACACATTATCTCATTCGAAACTAAAAAAAAATGTTTTTTGCCATGAAATAATCTATGAAGTTGCCATATATCATTCCGTGACTATAGGACTAGAGCTCTTGCCACGAAAAAAAGTGTGGCTAGTAACTTTGAGTGAAATTGCAATGTCAACCAAATTTGTTGATAGAATCTTTATAATTACACATCGGACAATATTTTTCAAAATGACATTATAAACCAAATGTTTAGGCACTAAAATATATCATCGTATACATTATTCAATTTAGA